GGTGTGATCAATGATTCAAAAATGGTGTTCTTATTGATGAAAGAATATGACGTGGTCTCATGGAACTCGCTGCTATCAGGATGCGCTCATCATGGATATGGTAGAGAGGCTCTGGAGTTGTTTGAACAGATGAGAAAGACAGAGATTACACCTGATAGCACCACATTCCTTGTGGTACTATCTGCTTGCAGCAATGTTGGATTTCTTGACAAAGGACTTGAATACTTTGAGTTGATGAAAAATGATGCCATGCTTGAACTGCCTGGAGTGGAGCACTATGCTGCTGTTATTAATCTTTTTGGTAGGGCAGGGTATCTGAATGAAGCAGAAGCCTTTATCAATAGCATGCCAATCGAGCCAGGACCATCTGTTTACAAAGCTCTTCTAAGTGCTTGTGAAGTTTATGGAAATATAGAAATTGCTACACGTTCAGCAAATAGGCTTCTAGAGCTGTGGCCTAATGATCCTGCAACATATGTGCTGCTATCAAAAGTACTGAAAATGGGGAATGACTGGGATGATGCAGCAGTTGTGTGTAAGCTAATGTCTGATAGAGGGGTGAGGAAGAATCCAGGCTGTAGTTGGATTTGAGTTATCGAATGACTCAGTCTCTATTGCAATGTGAAACTGTCAACCATCATCAAGATAGAAGAAAATCAGCTTTATCTTGGGTGTTTCTTCAAAGGATGGAAGAGAGAATTTAGAATATCCTTTCATCGAAGAAACTCTTTTCCCAAGTTTGGCTTTTCAAATCACGTGTAACTGTTTTTGGTGATGCATAGCCGTATATTTATGAAAGGATAACAAGACCTAAATTTTGCAGCCAGCTTAATTGTATTATGCTGAGGTAAAGCCTGTTTAGAGGAAGTAATCTTAAATTTTGTGAAGAGGTATCTGGGACATTTAGTTTTCTGTATATCCTTCCATTACATGTTAAGTAAATAAACATGCCTTGTTCTGAGTAATAACGTTTGCTCACTCAATTTTGGAAATCTATCCTTTGCAATGGTATAATTGATATTCAATGCAAAGGGTTGGTGTGCTCCTTAATAAAAGAGCTTCATTGCCATGTGTAATAGAAAATTTTACGACTTACATGTGAATCTGTTTGCTTGGGGGCATGGAATTATAGTCCTCAGATTCCATGAGATCGACAAGAAAGAGGAAGCATTTTGCTGATGAATCAATTGAATAATTAAATTGTATGTGTTGTCAGTTTGCTATTCAGAACCTTTGGAAAAAATTGTAACAACATTTTTATTTTCTTAATTTCAATGTTTTGTTCTAGCTAAAGGATTTGTAAGGACATGTGAAAAGTGTTTTTATTAATTTAATGTTTTGTAAGGATTTGTAATGATTTGATTCTATATAAGGATCTTCTCTAAACAATTACAATTCATTAGCACAAAATACATGCACATGGAAAGAGTGGTACTCTGTCTAATCTAAAAGGTTTGTGTTTCCTGTATTTATTAGAATGTGCATGAAACTGCATCATCATTTCAGATAGTGGAAGCACCATATGTTTGCAAAGGTTATTGTCAAATTCCAGTCCCATTGGACATCTGGCCAAAGAAGAGGTTGAAAGTTGATCCTGACCTAGTCAAATTGCTATTTTAAGGAAAAGGAAAACAATGCCATTGCATCCTTATTTTGTTACCATGTGTAAAACTTGTGCCCACAGGCATCTCAGTACCTCGTCGAATTATGTGGCAATTGTTTGCTGTCCATGCAAAAACACCGGGGAGTCATGCTCCAGTAATGTTGTTTTCTCTTATATGTCTCTCTTTAGGTTGACATCTAGAATGCAAAACCGATTGTGGAAGACTTTCAAGACGGGAAGGAACACGAAATTCAATCAGTCAACAATCGGAGAAAACATGGCTCAACTTGATCCCTTACATCGATATGGCGATAATCATCGAAATCCTACCACTCCAACTATTGAACAACTTCTTCGAGGTAATCCCAGAATTCCATACTAAGAACACAACAGGTTAATCAGGTATATTCAAGGGCCAGAGATCTTCGGGATACTATTTCTGTTCAACAACTGACTTCTTTAGCATTTGCTTAGAGCCAAAATTGGAGTCATGAATTGTTTCTAAAGGAAAAAAAAATGTGTTTTTTTGGCTCAAAGCAAGCAAAGATATCTTTCATAGTTTTTGTTTTAAATAACTTTCTTGTACAGCTGAGGATCCTCTAGCCTGGTCGCCTCAATCACACTCTTCACCCAGATCTGCAAGGAGCCAAGAGGTCAATGATCCTGAAGACGTCCATTACCATCCCAAAAAGTTAACCGTTCTCTCAAAAGTCAAGGAGAAGGCTCGAAGATGGAGGCAGAGTTTCATTAAAAGGAAGCATAGTGAAGGAGATAACACCACGCCCTCTTGGGGTGTTAGGTTGGAAGATGAGGACGATGGTGATGAAGTTGTAGGAGATCCTGAGTATCTTGGTGCTCCAAGTAATATCATAAATCTTCTTACATTTAGTTGACTCAATTTTGTTGATGCTCTTTTTAGCTGCTTTCCTCTTATATTTAGTGAAATGCTCCTGCTTGTGACATATTATTCTCAGTGTATGAATCGGAGCTGGCACCTGAAGGGTACAAGGAGAATGCAAGGCAGCATCCAAGGGCAGTTCCTGTAATCTCAGAAGAGCATGTTTTGCCAAGCAGTGTCAAACCTGTTCCTGAACAAGAAAAAACGGAAGCCAAGGCCAAGAAGCAGGCACCAGCTAATGCCACAGGAACAGATGCAACCCAGAAGATTGCTTCAAAGATTCAAGGCCTCTCTGTTTCAGCGCCAACAGCTTCCGAAACTGAGAAGCATGCTACTTATGAAAATAATAAGCATGCTGCTCATAAAACCAGCGAGGATGGTACTCATGAAGCTGACAAGTATGCTACTCAAGAAACTGACAAGCATGCCCTAAAAGCTGATAACCCAATCAGCCCCAGAGAGAACAATTGGGATAAAGGTGTTTCAGTGAAGGAGTATATAAAGAACAAATTTGAGCCAGGGGAAGATGAGAAAGCACTTTCTCAGGCAATATCTGATGCAATGAGCCCAAGGAGAACTCCAGGTGATGTGGGTGTGATCGAAAAAGTGAAAGGGGCTGTAAACTCTTTGCTCTGGAGAGAGGAGACAGCCCAATCTACAATCGATCATTCAGCTGGAAACTCATCTCCACACATTCCCATTTCTAACAATGCTCAAGTTGGTACCTTCCTTTTTCCTCGTAATCGCAAATTTGGCATCCACTTGCATACTTGAATTTAGTATTAGAGGAATAAAAAATTTAACAAATGGATGCTGAATCGTGACTGCCTGAGGATTCTAGAATCCAAATTATATCATATCTATTGCCAAAATTTCTTTCAAGAGTCTGGATACTATTTTGCAAAAGATCAGTTGATATCATGGTAAGTCACACGGTCAAATGTACATCAGTTATAACTCTTTCTGTCCAGTCCTACTATGGAGGTTCAGTAGTCTTCATCATTGTCACCTAGTAACTCAAACTGATCCTTGTTCAGGATACCAATGACTCCTCTCATTTTTCCTTTTGCCTTTTTGCAGTTATGAAGGAAGAGTACTCCAAGCCAACTGAAAGATAAATTTTACCCTGATTGCGACATGGTTTTCTGGACAGTCTCTTCTAATAAATAGTTTCAAGAAATCTAATTTTAAGTTTTGTATTCAATATGAAGCATCATCATCATCATTAACTGTAATCCACCTTACAACTGTTCAAAGTTTGTATCCAAGAATTCTTACCTGCAGAACTGCTGGTCTAACTTTTGGTATGTGGTGTAACCGTGTAAAGGAGCATATGACATAATAATGTGTTGAAAAATATTATTAATTAGGTCCTGAAACAGAAAGAAAATTAAAAAAAAGAAAAAAAATTCCAGGCCGCCCGTCTGAAGAAAATACTACCAGTCTACCAAATATGAACTCAATTGAACATCAACCACCACAACAAAATCTAGCCCAATATTTAGCTGTGATTCCTTCACAAAATGCTCTGAACTTTCATTGGGGTCCTGAATCTGAATCGATTCCACATCAAAGACAGTCCATTTCATGCTTACATACTAAAGGCAAAAGAAATTGGAAAGTTTGGCACCATATTATACCTTTCCAAGGCCTTGTTCTCTGGTCATCTATCGTGATAAGAATTGTCATTTGTTTCCATCAGTATTTGCAAAAGCCAATGGAACTGTTCGCTGTCCATGGAGAGCAGCACTTTCTATGTGGTTTACAGCAATCCCAACTTCTCTTGTGCCGTTAAATGTTGACTAATTCGATAAGTTGATACAAGCAACTGAATCACATGGTTCAGAAATGAAAAACACAAGAAAAAAAATTCTATGCTGACATTCATATAAAGGTATTGTTCAAAAAGTTTATTTAGAAAAACAACGAAACACAAAGGTTTTGTTCTTTGTATACATGGTGATCCTTTTCTGGGATTCCCTTTCCTGCTCTGATTCCACAATTTTGCCTTTTCAAAGCGGCGATATGACCATGTAGGTCGCTGAGCCCCACTTGCATTCCCACATATATAATATTTCCATTTTGACGGTACAATTTGGACCACATAAGGAAACCTCGAAGAGATTAAAAGCATATTTGGTCCCATTTTTTATTAATTTAAAAATTATTATAAAACTTTTATAAAAAAATTATAATTTGATTTTAAAAATAATCATCAAAATAAAATTAATTATTATTAATCATATTTAGTCATAATTTGATAAAAATATTCTTGAATTTATTTTAAATAAATTAAATTATCCATCACAATTTTTTCTTATTTTTGTCTCTGTTTTCAATTTCTTTCTCTCATCATCTAGCTTTTTTTAATTTTATCGATTTCTCTCTTCAACAGCCATATGTTGTGCTCTCAATTTCTCTCTCTTATACTTTTAAGACATCAAAAAATAGTTTTGATGTGCTTAGCGTGAGTGGTTATTTGAAAATTTTAATTTTTAAGTATTTTGGATAATTATAGATGTTTCAAATAGTTTTAATTACATCAATTCGGGACCTAGATACCAATAAACTCAAGAATTTAAAATTTATAAATCTAGGGTTTAAAAAATAATTTTTTTTATTTTTAGTTCAAATAAGTGTTTTAGATAAGAAAAATTCAAAATTGTGTTTTGATTTATGAAAGCATGTTAGAAATACTTTAATTAGTGGCATATCGTTAAAAAACCAAAAAATAATTAAGAGAGTACAAAAAATTTGAAGTTTTAATTTGTAAGTAACAACAATATTTTAGACATTAAAATATAACAAAATTTTTTTAAACACAGTATTTAACAATAATATTTTTTTGACATGGCATGTAATAACAATATTTTTTTCAACATGACATGTAACAACAATATTTTTTTCAATATGTATAACATGTTTTTGAACATAATATGTAACAATAATATTTTTCTAACAAAGCGTGTAATAACTTTTTTTAACTATATCGTATAATATGTTTTTGTATATGTCGTGCAACAATAATGTTTCAAACATGACATGTAACATAATGTGCATGGTGTGTAACATCATATATACTTAATATAAGGAGGTTTAATACATGACATGCAATATGTTTTTGTACATTATATGTAACATCATATGCATAATGTGTAACATTATATGCACTTGATATAATGAAGTTTCATTAAGGATAATTTTATCTAATTTAGCTAAAAAAAGTTAAAATTATAAAAAAGATTATTTTTTAAAACATTTTACATTTTAAGTGCTATTTTTTTAAATTTAACCACTTATAAAATTAAGTCAAAACTGTTTGGTAAATTTACTTTTTATAAACTATTTTTTAAAGATAAGTTGTTTAGTAAAACAATTTATATAAATTTTAATTTTGATTAAAATTATTATAAATGGTAGTTAATAAATGAGAAAAAAATTAAATCAAATAAAAAAAAATTTCCTATAATATTGTGAATTGTTGAAAGATAAAAAAAATATAAAAAATATTTATTGTTATTTTTTAAAATTTGACTTGAAATTTATAACTTTTGAAGTTGAATAAAATTGATGTTACCTACAAAGAGGAGAACCCAAAGTAATATTAATAATGGATCCAACTAGATCAGAAAAATCACGTTTAGCCATTGATTTGGCAATCCATTTTCCCATTGAAATCATCAACATTAATTTCATATAAATTTATCAAGGTCTTGATGTTCTAATCAACAAAATTTCTCTCCATGAATAAAAAAGTTTTAGTTTTTATATTTTTTTATTTTGAATGGGTTATTTATTTTGTTGAGAAATGTTAATTATCTGTTGGATATTATTGGCTTAAATGTGGAATTCGTTGATAAGAAATTAAGAGATTTTGTAATTCTTGTAAATCTATTTTAATTTTCTTGTAGTGTAGCCTATTATTACACCTAAAAGAAAAAATTCTTTAAAACAGAGTAACTATAAACGAGTACGAATATTAACTTTTCAATTTTCATCTAATTTATCTTAACAACGATTGATTTATTTGATTAATTATTTCAATTATAATCAACAAATATTATGTATATGATAAAGAAGTTAAGAACAAATAAACATCATATAATTATTATATCAAATAATAAAGAGAGTTTTTAAAAAAAATAAAAAAATGATAAAAAATGATATAAAATAAAATAAAATAATAATACATAAATACAGTTTTAAATTTAATTTTTTTTAAATATTTATAAGAATAAAAAAATCTTAGAAGAATAATTTGTAGAAAATGAGAGAAGAGAGAGGGGGTATTTTTTTAAAAAGGATCTTTTGAAAAAAAAATAATTCTCCTAAGAAATTAAACAGGTTTTTTAAAAAAATTAAAAGAGAATTTTTATTTGAGTGTTTTTTTAATTTTTTTTAAAAAATTATTATTTTTAAAGTATTTCACTAAATACTGTTTGATTCGTTTTTTCTTAAAAAAAATTAAAAATAAATCAAACCAAACTGGTACTAAGGCAGAGTGATTGACCAGCTGGATGCCCTTTTGAAATATAGAAACTCACAGCAAGATTGTTGATACAGATAAACAAGCGGTCTCCATTTCTCTGTTTTCTTTCTTCTCTCAATGGCTGCAGATCTTAAATCACTCCTTATTCTAGTAACATTCTTTATGTTTTTAGACCAGTTTGCCTTACCCCAAGAACAAAACCAGTTCATCTTCAATGGCTTTAAGGGAGCCAATCTGCATCTAAATGGGATTGCTAAGATCCTACCCAATGGTCTATTGGAGCTAACCAACACTTCAAATATACAAGTCGGCCGTGCTTTCTTCCCCTTTCCTCTCAAGTTCAACAAATCTGCATCTAACAGCTCTGATTCCCTGTCATTTTCAACCCACTTTGTATTTGCCATGGTTCCAGAATTGGCCAATCCTAGCGGCCATGGTATTGCATTCACTATCTCACCTACCATGGAGCTGGCAGGGGCTGTAGCAAGCCAGTACTTTGGGCTGTTTAATTCTTCAAGCAATGGCCTTTCTTCAAACCATGTGTTTGCTATAGAGCTAGACACAATTCAAAGCCCTGAATTTGAAGATATGCAAGGCAGCCATGTTGGAATCGATGTAAACAACTTGAGATCCTTGAAATCAGCTCCAGCAACATACTTTACGGAAGGGATAACTAAAAGCTTGGATTTCTTGAGTGGAAGTCCAATGCAGCTGTGGATAGATTATGATGAAGTGGAGAAGCTGCTCAATTTAACACTAGCTCCTGTAGGAAGCAATAAGCCTACCCAACCTCTTTTATCAACAAGCATTGATCTTTCTACTGTTCTTTTGGATTCCATGTATGTTGGTTTCTCTTCATCAACTGGTGAATTGGCTAGTGATCACTATATTCTCGGCTGGAGCTTCAGTAAGATTGGGAAAGCACAAAGCCTCGACTACTCAAAGCTTCCTTCACTTCCTCCACGGAGAAAACCAAAGTCAAAAGAAGATTTGATAATTATTCTTCCTTCAGTAGCAGTGATTGCCATGCTTGTAGCAATCTCTGGTGGTGCGTATGTTATACGAAGGAAAAAATATGAAGAAATACGTGAAGATTGGGAAAAAGAATATGGTCCTCAAAGATTTTCTTATAAGGATCTCTATAAAGCAACAAAAGGTTTTAAAGAAAAAGAGCTACTTGGTAGTGGGGGTTTTGGAAGTGTTTACAGAGGAGTATTACCTTCTTCAAATGAGCACATAGCGGTCAAGAAGATCTCCCATAATTCAAAACAAGGGATGAAGCAGTTTGTTAGTGAAATTGTTAGCATGGGAAGGCTAAGGCACAGGAACTTGGTGCAGCTCCTAGGCTACTGCCGGCGTAAAGGAGAACTTCTATTGGTCTATGACTATATGCCCAATGGAAGTCTAGAAAAGTTCCTATTTAGCAATTCAAAGCCAAACCTTAGTTGGGTTCAGCGATTTCGAATTCTTAAAGACGTAGCATCTGCACTGCTTTACCTTCATGAAGAGTGGGAGCAACTTGTGCTTCACAGAGATGTAAAAGCTAGCAATATTCTGTTAGATGCTAACTTTAATGGAAGGTTAGGAGACTTTGGTCTTGCCAAATTGTATGAGCATGGCACAAATCCCCAAACTACTTGTGTGGTTGGGACTCTGGGATACATTGCGCCGGAGCTGGCTAGAACCGGCAAGGCCACTACCAGCACTGATGTGTTTGCCTTTGGGACTTTCATGCTTGAAATAGCATGTGGAAGGAAGCCTCTAGAGCTACAACTAGATCCTGAAGGGACGATTTTGGCTGATTGGGTTCTTCAATTATGGAAAGCAGGAGCTATTCTTGATGCAAGCGACCATAGATTGGAAGGCGAATATGTGGCAGAGGAAATGGAGTTGGTTTTGAGACTAGGTCTTCTTTGTACAAACCCCATGGCATCAAACAGGCCTAGCATGAGGCAGCTGGTCCAATATTTGGATGGGAATGTTACCTTGCCTGAGATACGTTTGGAAGGTGCTAGAATTGAAATGATGTCAATTGAACATAATTTTAATAATTCTGTTTCTGCCAATTCCTTTTCCTCGTCTATTCTCAGCACTGGTCGTTGAATCAGAAATATCTCTCATCTTCATGGTTCAATAAGTACAATACCACTCAAATGCGAGAAAGCAAGCTGAACATCAGCAATGGAGAAAAGGATGCGGAATAAGTATGAGATTGATGCGTAGAATTTGCCGCAGGTTATAAGCTTCTTTCCGCCAAATATTGTGCTGTATATTCTAGTTCTGGTTAAAATATGTGAGCTCAATGCCAACCTATCCATGTACTACATCTTACACTCTTTGGCTGAACATAAAAAATAATTTGCTCCAAGTCAAGTTAATTATTAAAGCAATGCAATAGCTAATCATGCAACTTAAACCTTTGATTGAGCTTGAGTAGTTTGCATATTGTAATTAAATGCTAGTATATGGAAACAAGCCAATAGAATACAGAGAAGTTTACATATTACTGTCATAGCGAAAACATACAGGAAAATCTGATTTGCGTTTCAGTATCATTAATTCCACCCTTCTCCAATTGGTCTTTGGTGGTTACTATACTAGAAGGTTATGAAATAGAAGAGATTCAGTACTGACAGCCATCGTTCTTTCCCAGCTTTTGGGTCAAATTTTTTGCATGAGGGGCAGACTTATCTGCATCCGGCAGTCAATTATAACCTTGCGTATGCTGCACTAGTTCAGAGAACATATACAACTGCCTTAAGGACCTGCAGTACTGCTAAGGATGGAAAGTTCCCCTCTTGTTGACATCCTGGTTTTCATTCCACCAACACCCTCGTTCAACTATCTCTTAGCCTACTGAATTTTCTTCACACTTAGTCTTCTTTTTCTTTTTTCTTCTTGGGGATAAATGAGATTTTATTCATCCAAAGAAGCGGGAAAACCTGCTAAGTACAAAAGGAACACAGTGCTACAGCAGTAACACCAGTTGTTACATCGGTGAAGAACACCAAGAACAACAGCATAAATTAATCAAGTATATCATCTTAGCCCCGGTTTGTCATAATGTTCTTTAATTTGAAGCTATCCCCTGCAATATGCTCATCAAACCACCTCTTTTATGCGACTAAGAATAGCAAGAAGAGAACTGGACTTCTTGTTGTACATACTGATTTTCCTTTCTATCCAAATAAAGTAAAGATAACCATGTTTCTAGTCATGCTTAAGGGAAACTCCCTCGTTTTCCTCATTGCCCTTTTTCCTCTGTTTCCATTTTGATCCCAAGAAGTCTTCCACTTCCACGTGAGTCATGTATTTTGTTGTCTTATATCACGGTACTTTATTAGTGCAAGATTTTCTGCACATGCTTTCTTCTTTCCGCACCTAAAACATATCATCTTTCTGGATTTATGTACAATTCTCTTTTGCCATGTCTCACAGGTCACTAGGCTTTCCACTTGCACAATGCATTTCTTCCTCCTAAGTTCACATTTGAAGGCCTAAGATAAGCTCCAAAGAGGTTTTAGCATTTCTTCCTCCAAAGCTTTCAGGTAGAACTAAATATGTTGCTCCTTTCCCTGTATGTATGCTATACTTAATGAAAGAATAAATGATGTCTTTTCTGTTTTAAATGAAAGTCAATGGAGACAAAGTCCATGATCCTGATCTAAGGATGATAAGGCATTATTATTTATTACCAACAGGAGTGACATACACTGCACGAGGTAAATGCATGTACGTTTTTCTTCTAATTGGACTTTGTTGTTGAATTGAATTTATCAACAACACGGCTGAGTTTAATTACTGATATGTTGTATTGAATTCTACAGAAGAAGATATCTGAAAAAATATTAAAAGTATGAAAGTATAAACAGATTGACTTGCAATGAACAGTTACTGTTAAATCCTACCTGTTTCCACATATCGTATTGAAGATTATCTCCAGCCAATCTAGTAACATACCCTGGCTTTGGTCGGTCTGAACTTTATATAATCTATTTGGCTAAGCTACTACTGATTATAACCTTGTTTGATACTAAGCATGGTAAAAAATGGTGTTGTTTATTGTTGCATGGTATCCAAGTCCAAGATAGACAATTTCTATCTAAATTTTGAATTATTTCTAGCAAACTAATTATGGAAATTGTGTGGCAACGGGAACCCAATATTCCTACAATCTTATTATATTTCACAGTGTACCTCATTGTTTTTTTAGATTGCATTGTTAAGTATTGGATAAGGTTTAGAGGCTTGTTAGGTTAAGTCCACAACCAGAAGTCAATTTTCTTTGTTTTATTTTTCTTTCAGAAATGATGAGGATGCACCATGAGGATCACCATCCTTTCCAACATGTCAAAGCAGCTGTTATGCATGCCTATGCATGTTATGCATGTGCATTGGAATTTTGGAAGGTTAAATCCAAATTCAACAAAACAATTCTGCCTATGCAACCTTCTACCAATCAAGGTTGCAAAGTACCTACTTAAAGTAATATTTTGAGAGTGTTTTGTGACATAGAAGAAAAGGTATGCAAACAGTGGCTAAATTTTGTCAATGCCAGAAAAACAGCCTACTGCTCTATTTCTTCCTCCTAACTGATAAGTCAAAGTTTTGGTTCTCAATCTATTACTTAATTAATTATAATAATAAAAAGTCCTATGATTCAAAGAACATGTACTCCTGGCCATGAAATTTATTTCCCTGGTTCCTTGACAATTCCATATAGCATAAGTTAAATCTCCCTTTCCTTTATCAAACCATGCATGGGAAAAGCAATGTAGATTTAAGACAAAGAGTGAGGCATTTTTCTTTTTAAAGCTATGTTGAGGCACATAATTTGCTGGCATGTATTAATTACTGGCTAATGCTTGATATTAATATACACCAAGCTTAATTGAGAAAAGAAAGCAGAAAAACAAACGAAGTGAAGACAAGCCGCCCCTATATGCAATATTAGCTCTTCAATATATGCTAAGGGCATTACTCTCTGACTATACTCCTTTGTTTTTGACAAACTTTTTCAATGATTTAATAGATTATATTAAATAAATGTCGATTTTCTTTGAATAAGAATAGACCATGTGATGATATCAGCTTTCTATAATAAAGTAGATCATGTAGTGTGTGTTCTTTTGGCTGCATTGGGAAGATATGCTTATTCTCACTTACATTGTATTTGAAATGTTATCAAATTAACTAGAATTTAGAACTAGTAGTATTTGGTGTAAAACAAGTTCTGACTTGGTAAAAAAAAAATTATTTCATGCTTCGTGCTTTGACAAATAAACCATAGTAAACAGCTGCAAAAGGATTATCATCTTCTACATAATGAAAAAGGGTAGCTGGATCATCCAAGTTGACTTCCTCAAACAGACAAATTAATATCTCTAAATCAAAACTTTATGGAAAAGCATTCATGTTGTATAGATTTTTACTAGCATAGGATTCCATATGGTGATAGTAAACTGATGAAGCATGGATGATCCAGGTGAGCTCAAGCACCAAGAAATGAACGAAATTGGGATTTATCTCTAGTGAATCAAAGAAGTAAAAAGGTGTTAGTCTGCTCCTTTGAAGTACCAAATTCCCACATAAGTTTTAGTCTCAAAAATTTTTCCTGTGAAGTTTTCTTTTCTAAGCCAAAATGAAAATTTTTACGTAAAGAAGTCCCCATGGGCAGATGAGAAGACTTCTGAGAGTCAATACCAGGACAAGTCCATTCCATGCTTGTAAAAGTAGCAACCTGTTGTAGTCTCCAAAAGAATAATATAACAGTCACGCTGGAGGAAATTGCATGCATGTTACTTGCCAATTTGTTGGACTTTTTCTCCTGGAATATAGCAAAGGTTGAGGATATGGCATCTGTTTTGGTGGATCATTGAAATTTTGTTACTGATATTAAAGAAATGATAATCTTGAATAAGATCTATGTTTATGTCACCTTGATCCTCAGGAATGCAACTGACAAAAACCTTATGCTAGTTGTCCTAATATGAAACTTTGAGCCCAAGTAAGCATATCATTGCATAAACAAGTTGACTTGCTGCACAAAAAATTTGAAACAATAATTTAAAAATCACATAAACCTTTTTTTTTTTTTTTGAAAATTGGAATTTATTGGTCATTAACCGATAAATCATTGATAGTCTAACCAGGAATTTAACCATAGGCATGATTAAAACCGGTCATCATTATTGACCTTGGGTTTTGGTTGAGTATAACCTTCCCCCGAGGCCATATCCCAATGGCAAAGGGATGAGAGGGATAAAGGGAAGATGGTGCCTTGCTGCCTCATCTTATTATCATGCCCCCAAACAGCCAAAGAAGAGGTCAATTATCAGTTTCTATGCTATTTCAGTAATTCCATTTATTGACTCTGGAAATTAAAATCATTGAATAATTATTCTTCTCGTTCTAGAACTTGACCATGACCATTTCTGCAGGAGGCCATATAATATATTGCTACAAGTTGCTGCCTGGAGAGATAAACTTAAAGGTGGATATGTTGTGCAGGTTCTCTTAGCACCAAGACCGTTCATTCTTTTCACAATGGCTGCTGCTTTTACATCATTTTACTTTTTGTTGTGTTCCTGCCTGGCTCTGATTTCGTTGGCCAGGGCTGAAGATACTGACCAATTCATCTACAACGGCTTCGGTGGTGCTAATTTGCACCTTGATGGGAATGCCAAAATCCACCACAATGGTCTACTGCAGCTCACCAATACTTCAAAACAACTTGTTGGCCATGCTTTCTACCCATCTCCAATAAAATTCAACACTTCTTCCCCAAGTTCAGCTCGATCCCTTTCCTTCTCCACCAATTTTGTCATTGCCATGGTTCCTGAATGGAAAGATACTAGTGGCCATGGCATTGTCTTTGTCATCTCCCCATCTATGGATTTCAGCCATGCTGTTGAAAGTCAATATCTAGGACTCTTTAACGCTACAAACAACGGCAATTCTTCAAATCACATCTTTGCAGTTGAGTTTGATACTATCCTCAGTCCTGAATTTGAGGATAGAAATAATAATCATGTAGGAATTGATGTTAACGGCTTGAAGTCCATCCAATCTGAACCAGCAGCATATTTTTCCAATGAAGAAAGGAAGAATAGAAGCTTGAAGCTCATCAGTGGACATCCAATACAGGTTTGGGTGGACTACAATGATGAAGAAAAACTACTCAATGTCACATTGGCACCAAAGAGAAGCCCAAAACCAGACCAGCCTCTGTTGTCAACATCAGTCGATCTCTCTGATATTCTACTAGACACTATGTATGTTGGTTTCTCTGCAGCAACAGGTTCAATTGCAAGTAACCATTATCTTCTGGGATGGAGCTTCAACAGACGTGGACAAGCACAAAGCCTTGAGATATCAGAGCTTCCAAAACTTCCCAAAGTTG